ATTGCATGGCGCTGGGTATTCTCCGTTTGCACTGGCTCACCGAGGTCCCGATTCAGTGGAGACTCAAGCCCCCTGAATGTCACCCTCAGCTGGCCAATTGCAGCAGGCCAAGAGTTGTACGAACAAAGCATTTGTTCCTGGCTTACCTCATCCATTTTTTTCTCAACCGGGACTTCGTCAAAGGTCTTCACGCTGAGTGGCCGGTTCTTGGCATTAATACTGCAAACAAGGTAGAAGTGAGAGTTCTTTTGGGCCCATCATGGATTTGCACTTTCTGTTGGTTGGAGTGGGTGGGAGGGAGGGACAGACGGGGGAAAAGCACTATAATTCTGAAGTGTGTATCTGTGTGAGGGAGGGAGGACAGCACTGGGAAATGCACATCTCCGTGGAGCTGCCACGGCAGAGGCGAGCAAAGAAGGACTCCGTGGTCGGCAAATTCCGGGTCCCGCACCCTGTTCCAAGGAGGAACCACGTACGAGGCAGTTCAGCTTGCTGCAGATCTATTCCCAGGGTGCAACAGATCTCATCTTTCCAGAAGCCCAGTCTAACTTGCAATACAGCCCAGATGTGCCATCAATCATCTCTGCTGATCTCATAATATTACATAAATAATAGTCCCAATAAACTAAGGAGGGCGTGCTCTCCCAGCAGGCGTTGCTAACAGGATGTCCCACGTGGTTAAGTAGGCCCACCACTAAGAATCTCGGAAGACTTTGGGTGGGCACGGTCCTGCTACCATGGCCCTCCATGAAACGAAGTGGCACAGACAATTCGGAGCGTTTTCAAGCCACCCAGGATCCCTGAAGTGACATGTTTCCCACAGTGAAATGTTTCCGACTGTTTGCACAGGCCAAGCAAAAGCAGCCTGCCCCAAAAGCAAGAGAGGGAAATGGCTGTGCATTTTATTAAAAAGAGACCTAGTGTGATGCAGTGGTTAAGTGTTGGGCTGGGACTCAGACGATCTGGGTCCAATCTCTGTTCAGCCATGGAAGCAACTGGGTGACTTCTGGCCAGTCTCAGACTCACAGCCCAACCTCTTTGGACAATCGAGCTTGCAGCCCAACCTACCTCACAGGGTTGTTGTTGTGAGGATTAGATCAAGAGGAGGAGAAGGAGAATTAGGTAAGCTGCCTTATTTATTTATTATATTTATATCCCACTGTGGGCTCCTTGAAAAGGAAGTGTCAGGATATAAATATTAAAATTAAAACATTTAAGATTAAGACTCAGATTAAAAATGCTGCTTGCTTACCTTGCTTCCACAGCACTCCAGCGGTGAATAAAGTTGCTTAAGTTGTCTTCTGAGATGCAGATTTTGGGGATGGGCTCTCCATCAGAGCATAATGAAATGTTCAGTGGGATATAGTCTTTCCCATCCTGCATATTTCATAATCAAGAAGAAAAGAAGAGTTGCTAAGACGCGTCTCTCTCACTTGGCCTCAGGCGTTCCTGGCGGTCACGTTTTGCTGAATCTGCCTTTCGTGGGCTGCCAGCACCAGATGCCCTGCGCAGAGGTTTGCTTTCTCCTTCCTTTCATCTTTCTGCTAAACAGCACCGAGCCACTTGGCCAGGCACCAGCAGTGGGGTTTGGCTTGGTCCATCTCCTCTATCTGAGCAGAGTATTTTTAAAACGACTCTTCAAAGACACGGAGAAGCTGTGGTTCTCCATATGTTGCTGGGCTCTCCAACTCCCATCATCCACAGCCAGCGTGGCCAATAATCTGGGATGATGGGAAGTTATACTCCGACAATTCCTGGAGGAGCACCAAATGCCCCCCTCTGCTCCAATCATTACACTCTATCAGCTCTCAGGTCCTTAGTTGTTGCGCCAATTTTGTTGAATGTTGTTTATGTATCCAAGTCTAATGTCCAAACCTGAGGAGCTTGGATGGGTAAAATGGACCTTAGGCATTTGATCCTAACCTCACAGCAACCCAGTGGGGAAGCTCAGGCCATGCAACACTGAGTTGGAGCGGGGAGCTCAGGAGCCTCACGGTCACCAGGAATTCAGACTTGAGTCCATTTGCCTTCTCTGCCCCACAACCATGATGGAGAACATGCATTTGAGCTCCCATCATCCCTCCCAGTTGGCTCTGCGGGGTAGGGTTGATGGAAGCTGTATCAACAGCTGGGGCTACAGGTTCTCCACCCCAACCCTACCCACCACTGATGAGTTACGGGACAGACTAAAACCGCAGCTCGCCATGCTGGTCCACTAGAAAGCCCCCAGGGCAGCAACTTCCTTTGCTGGGGTCAGCCGTAATTCCACACATTAGCGTGAAAGGTTTCCAGTTCACCCAACGGACAGAGTTACAGGATGCCATACAGGAAACACAGGAAGTCGCAGCTGCGCCCATTAGGGCACAAAAGGGGCATTTCGTGCCGTGTCTCTTTCTGGACGGGGCTTGCAGTCACCAGTACTTGGCTGACAGGGCGCTGCGCATTTCTGGGAGTCCACCAATCCCGTCCTGTCCACACTTGCTTCCTGTTGCCCTGTGGCACAGGCAAGCGGCTACGGGGGGTGTTTGAGAATTTGGTTGCAGGAGAAAAGTCTTATTCAGGTAAAACACTGGGCAACTTTGCCTTTTGCTTGGAAAACGTGTCACAATGCACAATCTATCCAAGTCACTGATTCTCAGCAGCAAATAGTAACAACTAGTTGAAACTGTTTTATTTTATCCCCAGGAAACCCTCTCCAGCCCCGCCCCACCCCAAAGCCTAGCACTGTCCCTTATGAATATTCTTTCTTCTTTGTTCCCCCTGGCTATAGTAGCTCTCCCCAAAATTGTCCTTTTCTGCATGGCCAACTAGCTTCCTTTTAACTGAACTGCACTGATTTATTTGTTTTGTCAAGTGAAAAGAGAGAGGAGGAAGAACCTGGATACTGAAAATTACGTAACTGCTCTGTTCCGAAAGTGGAGAGAAAAAAGGTTGATTAAGCTATTGTGGAACAAGCAAGTGTATAATTGCCATTGCAGGACACAAACCCTTTTGTGTTAAAGTTCCTCAAAGCGATGATGAGTTTAGCATGTTTGGTATACGTTCACACTCACATTAAAAGTGAAAAAAGATATTCCCTTTCTGGAGGCTGAAAACTAATTAAAACTCTTGGTGTGATAAGGAACCCTTGTTCCTCTCAGGAGCAAATGAGGCTCTCAAAAATGACTGAACATGAATTTTCAGCTTGTAACGGATGACTACCATTGGGCATGACCTCTTTGAGCAAGAAATATTTACACCCACTGAAATTTTTCTGAATTTTTCCCATGAAACAACCTTCAATCAACCAGTTTCGTATAACAGAGTCATGTTTCTCAGCTGAGGCACACCAAAATATTCTCTGCACATGTTCAGTTGGGCTTCAGTCGAAAGTGGAAGAGATCTCATTCTGCATACCTGTTGCACATTGGCCTGGAGCAGGTCTCCTAAGCGCTCCACGAGCTCCGTGAAGGTAGGTCTCTCTGTTGGAACACTGTGCCAACAATCCAACATGGTCTGGTAGCTACAGGAAAAAAAGAAGAGTGCATCAAAGACGACTAACAACTAACCATCTGTGAAGTTACCTTCACTTCCCCTAAGTATTTTGGACAACAATTCCTAGGATTCCTGACCGTTGGCCATGTTGACTGAGGCCAATGAGAGCTGATTACAAAACATCTGGAGGAGAGCAGGTCAGGGATGGTGGCTGTCCACATTCCTCCTTATCCTGCTTTGCACTTATAGTCTGGCAATCCTGCCAGATGTTGCCTATCGAAATAGCAACAATAGCCTTGATCCTGGTCCTTTATGAAGAAGGCAAGGACGTTCGTTGCCCTGGCAAAAAAATAAACACAAAGGGACGACTGAGGATGGAGACAGTGATAATCAGTTCCAGAAAATGCTTCATTTACTTAGGCTTCGCTATAGGATATTAGCGATAGGATATTATGGGGGCTTTTGCAGGGGGGGGTCTTACATTATTTTCATTGTGAGCTGCCTACAGTTACTTCCTAAAATAAGCAACAATGCTGTCGTCTTAGGAGCAGCTGGGTATAGGATGCGACCATCAAAAGCTGGATCAGGCCAAGGTCCATTTGCTCCACCGTTTCGTCCACACAGTGCTCGTCCTGCTGCCCACAGAATCCTACTAGCAGGATACGGGTGCAGCAGTGCTGCCCTACCCATGCTCCCCAGCCCCGGGCGTCCTGACCCTGTTCAACCACCACTTCAGTGTGAAAGTATCAGACAGTTCATTGGAAGATCAATACTGCAGAACCATAATTGGTGCATTACAATGAAACCTCATTTTTTCATTTAGTATTTCATGAAGCACAACAATTTGGCTATATTAAACTGAGTTTCAACTAAGCTCTGGGTATGTCTTCACTAAAGTTTTAATAGCTGTCCTGTCTCCACAAGGGATTTGGGGAATTATATTACTGTGATGAAAAGGCAGAGAGGTATCTCTAGAGATTTCAGCTCTGTTTTCGACCAGCAGCTCCCAGGAATGGGCAATCCATCCTCTTTCTAAAAAGGGTGGAAGTGGTCCGATACATGTAAAGAGCACGAGCATAATACTCCGGAATACACGAGCCATTGTGAGCCAAGATAAAATTTGGTATGCATGAGAGTAATCTGCCCCTGCGTTCTTCCTCTGTTCCCAGTGACAAAAGCTGGCTGCACAAATTGCCTTGAAGGTCATACTGATAATGGAATAGATCAGGGCTGAGCCAACATTTCTAAGAAGTTTCTGGGAAAAATTCTGTTCTATAGATCACTTTGCAGAATTTCCTTGGTAAATTCTCCACCGTTCCCTCCTCTGTTCACACGACACATGCACACAGCACCCCAGAATAACACCAGGCCTGGAGCACTGCGAAGGATGCAAAGCCATGGCATGGCTGCCAAAAACAACCCCACGAACAAAGAAGGAAGCTGCGCTGCTTCGTCCCTCACAATGAACAGTGAAAAGCTTTGGCTCTTCCAAGAGCCTTTTTAAGGGGGAAGAAGTCATTGCAATGGGGCAGGAGGGGGAAATTTTCCATCCTCCAGTTTCTGGAGCTGCTTTTGGGCCCAGCAGCTGTTCAGAAGGTAGATAGTGGCCAGATCTGGAACGCAGAGACTCACCTAATTCCTAAAAGGGGAAGGTGGGGGTGAAAGAGGGAAGATGCAAGAAGGATTTCTGAAGGAACAGGGAGAGGCAGGACGGGTCGTGCAGCGACAGAAGGGAGCAAGCGTGGGTCTAAACCTGTGCAGGGGAGGGAGGGACAGGTACAGTGGGCCAGGTTATGTGGAGATGGAAAACATACACTTCTGGAGTTGAATATTCAGGTGCTCTCATTCGTGTTCCTTCCTTGAGACGTCGGCAGAAGTCCTCATCGATATACACCCCTGGATACGGAGATGCTCCTGCAGACACAAAACATGTACACCAGCCAGGTAAATTCAGGAAGATTAAAAATGAATGATAACTTATTCCACATGAAGTGCTTTATTTTTTTACTGCAACTCTCGCAGACATGACATGAAAAATTCACTGGCAAGGTGGCTTTTCTGGGGCATTTGGGGTTACTGGGAAAATCCGGGGTAGGGTTAAGGTAAGCAAAATGAGGTGCTTCTGATACTTCTGAGACCTGGAAGGTGCTCAGAAGGGGCAGATAGAAAGAGCCGGGCAGAAAAATCTCTGAGAAGTGAGCATTTTAGAAATGGGCGTGCTACATGGGGAATTCTGCCAGATGTTAGGTCCTCTGCAGAAATCCAGGGAGGAGACACTGCATGGTTCACCCCTGTTGCCTGGGGTGGTTCAGGATGAAATGCATCTATTTCCCTGCTGTGATGAACATCACGGTGCTGACAGTCCAGTTCCTCAGACGATTCATAATTCTGAAGTGAGGCAATCTCACTAGGCCTGACCCAGACGTAGGACTCGGAAGACCCCTTTTGCCCCTGGATACTCAACTGCAGATCCCTGGGTTACTTTCCAGGAGAACAAAAAGAACTACTGTATACTTGAATTTTGCTTTTCTCTGTTATGCCACCCAATAATTAGATTTCACACAAGGATTACAAAGCATTGATTCAGTTCTAATGCTGTGAATTTACTGGTTCCTACTTTTCCCAAAGAGATGGTAGAAGGTTTCTTCTCTCCAACAATCTGGCCTCCTTAACGGCTGTGGAAAAATTTGGAAGGACACGTAATCCGGTCTTAGCATGGGTTATCTAACAGAATCTGCGTCTGAGTGCTGGTTTGGAGGAATCCTTGTACACTTCACATCACATCACATTCCTGTCTGATTTCCTGTTTTTGTCCCGCTCCACTATGCCAGCTTCCACAGTGCATTCAGAGCCAAGGCAGAAAAACAGAAAAAGAAGGAATGAATGGGAGCACAGTATCAAGAATAACAGCTCTTTGAAGCAGTTTGCATAACTCTGCTTGAGTTGCAAGTTGCTAAGAATCCTCCCAGCTGATAAGTGGGGCTGTGATTCAGAGAAAGCAGCCGTCCCCTCCCCAGGAGAACCTCCTCTGTCCCTTATTTGGCCAAAGATCGACTGCTAGAAGAGACCAGGTAGGCAGAATATTGGCATCCGCTGACTTCCAATGTCCTCCTTCCAGTTGGTAAGGAAGTTTCTAAAAAGAGTGCTGTTGGAAACTGGGGAATTCCTTTTGGATGCAATTTAAAGTATTGTTGCAATTGAAAATAAGAACAAGCCTCGTAGATTCTCAGGGATAGGAACTCCCTCCCACATCAGTGTTTCCTCTCTAATGAAAATCTACTCCTGCCTCCAGCATCCCCCCAAATTTTGTGAGACATTTTATTTCTATTTATATTATAGTAACAATTTTTAAAACCTGCATCTGTGCATATGAGTTAGCATATGAACATGTTTATGAAAACATATCACCTCTTTGGTCCTCAGTTTTTGAGACATTGCTCCCTTCTTGTGCATGTCCTACTTACCTACCTTTGCTAATAAATGCTGATGCTATAGCATTGCAAGTTTCTTATTTACCCCACTATCTTTCACTATTTAGAAAAAAACTTGCACATTTAATCCCAAGAAGGGCTGCCATTCTGTCCAGGGCCATTTCCTCAATTGCAAAATGTGATTTGATTGGCAATTCAATCATTTCAAGTGAACAAATCAAGCCAAGTTGCCTTCGTCGGTCTGTGCACACACGAACTGCAATTTGCCAAGATATGTGTAACAGTCACTATGCTGGGAGTGACTGGGACCATTCACTTGTGGACTCACAGAGGTCCATAAATGTAGGAACTGTGGAAAGGAGCTCAAAACTTGCCCCTTAAGGAACAAGTCTTCATGTTCAGATTTTTAAAAACAAAAAAGAAGTGAAACCGAAGCAAGGCAAAGTGAAGCAAAAAAGCAAAGCAAAAAGCAAAGCAAAGCCATACTTTTTACGTAAGTGGATTTGCTTGCTGACACGGTTCTCTGTGAAATGCTTATCGTCCGAGCTGTCCGTGAGAGAGTGCCAGACCAAGGACATGCCTGGATGAAGACCTCTCTTTGGTAGAACAATTTGTTTTCCAAATTGGTGCTATAGAGAGGAAAATCAGGTTTCTAATCCCATTTCACAAGGAGAATACCAGACATTATGTCAGGGCCAGTGTGTGGAACAATCCAACACATTCCTCAATTAAAAGAACAATCCAGTGTCTGGAGCAGTTTCATTTGGAGGTTGGAGGTTTCTTAAGAGGAAAGCCGTGCCTGCCGCTTAGACAGTCTGCTGGGAAGAGCTATATTTTTACCGAGCGTTATCTTCTTATCAAAGCCTCTATACTGCAAGACTACAGATCTGAATGTTGCCAATTAACCAGTGGGCGCTTGGCTAGATTTCTGGCATAACTGCAAATCTGCTGCTCTAATTAAGTCATTCACCTCCAAGCTATTCCGATGGCTCCTTGGATGTGTTCGCATCAGTTAGGTTTGGGTGCACTGTACGCTGGCCGTGTCACCAGGGTGACATGTTTTGAGAAGAAACAGGCTTCTTTCTGTGCCTGGATCCCATTTTCTCATCTGTTTTGCCTCTGGGGACACAGTCCCTGGCTTGACTGCTGGAAAAAGCTGAGCAGCTCACCAAAGGAGTGGGAGACATGTTCATTTCCTGCCATTTGCTGTCAGCCACCAAGCCAGAGTCGAATCTTGCTCTAAGCGTGTCATGGCCTGAAGGACTTAGGATCTGGCTACCGGTGCGTTGCCTCTTCCAGTCCAAACCTGTGTGATCACCGATGCCCTTGAAGGAAACCTTGCCCGTTTTGCAGCACTACGGATTGCAGACCGAGGGCAGCTTGGAGCGGCACCTCTTTGCAGTAGCGTCCGCATTACGGAACGCTCTTGTGGTGTTGGGAAATGCCAAGGGCAGCACAATTTCGATGTCAGAGCCCTGCCCTGAATGCATTTCTAACATAGCTCATTTATTCATTATTGGGTGAAGGCTTTAAATATTTTAAGTGATCTAGCTGCTATGCTTTTGTATTTATTAAGATGTATTTAAGTCTCTGATTCTATAAACCACTCACAGATATATTTAGATGTGGTAAGCAGTACATATACTGATGAAATGAGAAAGAATTAGTGCAGGGCCTGAGCCAGGAATGTGGACATCTGGGCCATTCTTGGAAGCTTGAAAAGGGCCCTCAGGAGCCTAGGAACGAGCTCTGCAAAACAGTGTGGCACCACAGGGCCTTCCTCTACTCCGTCACCATCATCTTCACCCGGGGGTCCTCCGTGAGATGCTTATCACTAAGGGACTTCTCCTGACCTTCTCCTGCAATGTAGCCCCTCGAGAGCATGTGGCAGGCTGCACCCTCCATTCATGGAAGGGGAAGAGGAGCCCCAAGCCCAGCAAGGACAAACTGGGCGGGCAGCTGGGATGCCAGAGCATTGCTCAGCAGCTGCACAGCACGCCAGGGGATATGCAATGTTCTCCCTGAAGGCGCAAAGTTCAGAAAGGGAGAAGATAAATTTCCAAAATGCTTTGGACTTCAACTCACAGAAGCCCTTGGCAGCTTGGCCAATGATCAGCAATGCTGGGAACTGAAGTCTGAAACATTTGGAGAACTGCTTCCCACCCATACCTGTTCTGTGGATAGCATTGCCAGAGCCATTACGACTTAAATTTTTAAAAAACCAAGAATAAGTAGAAGTGTTGCTCTTAAAATACATCTTTTTCTGCTCCCTCTGTTTTGCACTTTAACCTTTGGGATTTTTTTTTAAACAGAACTTTGAACCTTGCTGAATCTAATCTCCCCTTCATAAAATGTTCTCCCTTTGCATTTCTTTTTCGGTTTGTGAAAACTGTAATAGAGCTCTTGAACTCATGGGAACATCCACATGAGTTGACTGCAGCCTTCATAAGGACCAATTAAAAGTAGCAAAGCAATGAACAAGACTTTGTGCAGCACAGACCTTTTTTTGAGCTGGATGGCAAATGAAAAGCAGCGGGTGAACAGAGGGGAAAGAGACACTGCCTGCAAAAAGCAACATCACATTACAGAACGCATTTCTGAGCACCTGCTTGTTTCTACATTTTGCAAAAAGAGAACTGGTCTTGCTTCTCTTCCTGTAGCCTTTGGGGAAGTCCAAGGGTGTTTTTTATTTAAAGCAAGAAGGCCTAACTTAACGATATCTTTGCTACACATTCTCTGTGCCATTGTAAGATTAGTATGCAATCCCTCAATCCCAACTTGGCCTGCTTCCAGTTTTCAGATTGGAAATGGGCAGGAAATCGATCAAACTCAAATGAGCCAGATTTCCCAGCATTGCCCCCCTGCCCCCCGGTCAATATCACGACCTGCAACTGCGGTCTTACAATGTTGACTCGGGAAGCTCCTTGCTGACCGGTGGAATTAGTTTGCTCTCAGTTCTCCCAGCTCACACCAGGGCAAAGAAGCAATGGTCCACCCCCTTGGAATATAGAGAAGGCTTTCACTTTTCTAAATGGCGCTTAGAATTGTACGGAGGCAGGAATGGGGGATGAGATCTCTATTCCAAGCACCCTGCAACTTGTCCATCTGCTTCTTCCCATTCTTCTACCTGCCCTTTGCCAAAAGGACCAGCACAGCCTGACATGGGATTGCCCTGTTTCCATGACAGGGGCTCTTGGCCAACCAGTGGTCTTGTAGATGCTTATTTTTTCAGAAGGTTAGCTTTTTGAAGAGCGCTAGGAGCAAGAAGAGGATGCCACAAATATTAGCCTAAACGAAGAATTCCTCCTCCTCGCCACTATGTTGTGAGAGTTCTTCTATCGCTCATGGCAGACCACACGGGACACCCAGTGAGTAACTACACTCTGTGTGGTCTATGAGCTGAACCTGCTTAGCCTGCGGAAAAATACCCTTTGTCAGGAAGATTTTCTGCTCAGTAAAAGTGGATTTCATCCAGGGAAGCCACAGTTAGCATTCTATGCAATGTTTCCTGGTTCCAATTGTTCCGAATGTCAACTCTGGCTTTCAAAACACGCACTGCATGCCAACTTGCCGGCCAGTCACAGCAGTGTCTATCTGTGAGCAGCCGCTCGCTGGCTCACACAGAATCCCTCCTGAGAGGCATGCTGCAAACGTGAGTAGCCAACTCCCCTAAACTTCCTTTGTCTCCAGCCAGTTCAGAGCTGCTGGCTCAGCTCGCAAAGTGGCAGATGGAGCCCTCTGATAAGAGATCAGGCCGCTGGTCCATCTGGCAAGTCTGACCCTTCTCCATGGTCTCCACCAGTGAAGCATCCTCCCTTCACCAGCTATCTAAGCCTTCTGTCTTGATGTGCCCAGGACTGAACCTGCAACGCACCATTGCGAACCACAAAACAAGGTGGAGCGCTTGTTTCAGAACTAACCTGGGACTCCCAGAATGCAAAGCCTGTGCTTTGCTAGTTTGTTATTATCCCATTGTTATGTGACTCCCAAGCATAAGGCTAGGAATTCATTTGTATAAGCTACTGCAGCTTTTTAAATATGTGTTTTGAATTTGGTTCCCAATTTTTGTATGGCAATTTTTAATGATGTTTTCAATGCTGTTTTGTTAAATATTGTGTTGTTATTGCATTATATTGTGTTGCTGTACATCATCCTGAGAGCCTCAGTTATTGGGCAGCATTGCTGCTGTCATTGTCGTAACAATATCCCATCTATACTTGGCGTTACCAAGGATCAGTGCCCATCCAATCCACCAATCCACACAGGTGGATCAGATCAGCAGAAGCTGAGCATTTTGTGGGCCTTGCTTTTTGCATGAAAACCCATGCCTGCGTTGGGCTTGACTGAACACATCCCTTCGCAATGCATATCTTTGAAATGCATGCATCCTTTGCTCATAGTTTAAAGCAGATTTGTGTGCATTTTTGAGAAGTGCACCATTTTTCGAAAGCACGTGTGCCGCTGAGAGCTTCTTTTGAGGTGTGCAACTCTGACGACTGAGCCCAGGTGTAAACTTGGCAAATCCTGATCAAAAGTGAACTGAAGCAATTCCTCATACATCCCTCCCCACCCCTTAATTTAAAATAAAAGTAATGCAAACTTACCGAGAGAAAATATTTCCCACAGCAACACACCAAAAGACCAAACATCACTCTGGGTTGTATAAATTTTGTCAAAAATCGCTTCTGGAGCCATCCATTTAAGTGGCAGTCTAGCCTATGAAATTAAACAAGTAAAGAATGGCATTAATAATGTTTATCAAATTGTGCATATCCTGTATAATCCCAGTGGGCAAGCATGAGGCACATTCACTATGACTGCCCTGGAAGTAAGACACGGTCGCATTCTGAGCACCTAAATCTTTTCACTTACATCTCCTTTCCGCACATAATCAGGATCTTTGTAAATATCCCTGGCTAATCCAAAGTCACAGATCTTCACCACATTGTTTTCAGACAGGAGAATATTCCTGGCTGCCAAATCCCGGTGAATGCACTAGAGAGACAAATAAAGGTGGACAAAGGAAATCAGAAAACATTCCTCCATTCTCAGGGCCAACTTGTGCAAGCCAATCACAGCACGGGGGAGAGGATTCCCCCTCTAGATCCCACAGAGCCCCTCCTCACTTCCAGCTGGACATCTGGTCCTGGTGTAACTTGTCGTTTCATCCCTGACAGTTTCCACTAACTACCAAATCCCTGCACAACCCTGAAACATTCTCAATACCCCACTCCTCTTGACTTCAAACCCATAGGTCTCTAATAGGACAATATCAACACAACTCCCGAATTCCTGCTCTCCGTATTCCTTTGACGGCTCTTCCAGTTCTTTTCTGAGGGCTTGTGTGCCAAGAGTTGAGTTGCACCACTATGGGGTCTTCATTTCAGGATCAGAGGGCAATTTAAAAGAAATATATTTACAGAGAAAGAGGCAAGTCATTACAGATAATGGCGAGGAGAAGCAGGACGAAAAGCATCATTAGGATCTTGTTGGAGAAGACCTTTGGCCGTTCTTACGGAAGCCCTATGGAGATGTTTGTAGGGCTTTGGTGGGAATGAGCCTCTATGTGACACCTCTGCAAGGGCTTAGAAGCATGTTGAACATCTTGCGGGGGTTTGTCAGGACTTACTTTTCTTGAGGCCAAGAACTCCATGCCTTTGGCTACCTGGAAGCTGTAGCAAATCAAGTCTTCCAAGGTGAGGGATCGCTTATAGAGATCTTCAGCGTCTAGAGGAGAGGGAGCAGCATTTGAGCAAAGCACCGCATTTATTGCATGACAGGCACAAGATTGCTCCACAGCCTGCCCTAACATTCAGCCCCATTCCCCATGCCATGGACTCAGCTAAAAATGATGGCAGGTGATTGCGTCGTCAGGAAAGGCTGCGTCCTTCCCCCCGCTCTTCAAAGCGAGTGTGTGGGGCTAATAATCTGACTGGAATGCAGCTCCGCAAGACAAAGTGTCCGAAAGACAGAATATATTACGGAGATTGATTTTCTTTATATCTATAGTGAGTTTGTTGTTGTGTTATATGCGCTCTTCGTCTTGCCACCTGCATTTCTAACTCATTTTTTTAATTCCATGAAATAAAAGAAAGCCAAAAGGCAAATGTTTTATCCGCAAAGAAAGATATGAAGAGTATGGAGAGAATGGATAGAGAAGCAGGTTTTTCAGCTCTTTGCCTAGACAGAGAATTCTTCACACAACACAGAATTGACCACAATGTCCCCTCACCCAGTCTGTCAAGGCCAGTGGACCAGGATTAATGCTAAGGAAGGCGAGACTAGGCAGATTTTAGCCTGGTTCAGCAAAATGGTTGTTGTGCTAAGTGTGGTGTAGTGGTTAGAGCATGGGACTGGGACTCAGAGGATCCGGGTTCGAGTCCCCGCTCGGTCATGGAGCCAACTGGGTGTCTTTGGGCCAGTCACAGACTCTCAGCCCAACCTACCTCACAGGGTTGTTGTTGTGGGGATAAGATGGAGGAGGAGAGATGATGTAAGCTGCCTTGAGCCCTTTGAGGAAAAAGGCAGGATATAAATCCATAAAAATAAATAAATAAATAAATAAGTTGGTCCATGGATTGTGTCCACTGGGAGATAGGACAGGGTCTTCTTCCACCAAACCAAGAAGCCAGCCCCTCTTCCATTTTCCCCTCGCCATTTCTAGTGCTGCTTTAACATGGTTAAGTGGAGCGTGGTATCTCACGTGGGCAGCAAAGGGCACTTCTGGCCGCTTCTCCCACCCTGCAGAACTCTGGGAGACTCTCTCTGAACTTCAGGTGAAGAATTAAGTGATCGGATGGAGCGTTGTGCAAGCGAACCAGTGAAAACATTGTCTCTGTGCCCTGGGAGTGTGGCAACAGCTTTCTGTTTCCAGAGGAGTCTCTTAACTCACCCCACACTTGCCCTCCCAATTTCAGAGCAGGGGAAGCATCAGCTGGAAAAGCTGGGATGGCATTTGAAAGGATGTACGTGAGTCTCCAATGCAAGGAGAACCAAAGAAACTGGGTGGGCTGCTTGTTTACCTTCCTCTTCCTCTTCAGAGTCAGTGTAACTCTTGTCTTCAATGAAGCCAGAGCTGGCTGAGCTCCCAGTGCTGGCCACGCTCTCGAGGCGGCGTTTGATCAGTTCAGTCAAATCACTGATGGACTCCTCCAGACCTTTCTCAGCAGGGCCTAAGTTTTCCTGTGGCTGGAAAAAGAAGACAACACAAAAAGAAGCTCTTCCCACTGTCTTTGTTTATGCAATGGTTCCCAGCACTTGTTCCACCGGCAGAAAGGGATGGTATTGGAGGTCCATTAGATTCGATCATGAGAAAATGACAGGAAGGGCTGCGGGTATGCATTTACGGGGCAAAAAAATCTCCAGGAATTGAGCATTTTAGAAATGGGTGTGCTCCACGGGGAAGTGTGCAGATTTTAGGGTTACTGGGGAAATCCAGGGTAGGGTTAGGGTTAGCAAAACGAAGGAACTTCTGCCGCTTCCGAGACCTGGAACGTGTTCAGAAGGGGCAGATAGGATGAGCTGGGCAGAAAAATCTCCGGCAAGCGAGCATCTTAGAAATGGGTGTGCTGCATGGGGAATTCTGCCAGATTTTAGGGTTACTGGGGAAATCCAGGGTAGGGTTAGGGTTAGCAAAACGAAGGAACTTCTGCCGCTTCTGACCCCTGGAACGTGTTCAGAAGGGGCAGATAGGATGAGCTGGGCAGAAAAATCTCCGGCAAGCGAGCATCTTAGAAATGGGTGTGCTGCATGGGGAATTCTGCCAGATTTTAGGGTTACTGGGGAAATCCAGGGTAGGGTTAGGGTTAGCAAAACGAAGGAACTTCTGCCGATTCCGAGACCTGGAACGTGTTCAGAAGGGGCAGATAGGATGAGCTGGGCAGAAAAATCTCCGGCAAGTGAGCATCTTAGAAATGGGTGTGCTGCATGGGGAATTCTGCCAGATTTTAGGGTCACTGGGGAAATCCAAGGTAGGGTTAGGGTTAGGAAAACGAAGGAACTTCTGCCGCTTCCGAGACCTGGAACGTGTTCAGAAGGGGCTGATAGGATGAGCTGGGCAGAAAAATCTCCGGCAAGTGAGCATCTTAGAAATGGG